TTGCAACTAACAACAACAAGATATGCATTTCTGTTTTTAATGTTTTTATATTAAGTCACAAGGAGTCCCAAGATTTTGTGATATTTAAATAAACAAATGAAAAATGATAATAATAAAGTAGGTTAGTCAATTGGTTAAAGAACTAACTCAAAAGGCAAGGATCCCTCTTAGCTAGACAGAGTCCATGAGCATGTTTGCTGTGGATATCTAGTGCCCCAGGAGCTTTTAAAGAATCTGCCTGGATATTTCTGCCTACTACAGGTAGTCCTGACTTACAACCATTCATTTAGTGACCATTCAAAATTACAACGTGACTGGAAAAAAGTAACTTATGACCGTTTTTCACATTTAGGACCGCTGCAGCATCTCCCACAGTCACATGATTAAAATTCAACCGACTCATATTTATGACGGCTGCAGAGTCCTGGGCTCGTGTGATTTTGCGACCTTCCGACAAGCAAAGTCAGTGGGGAAGCCAGATTCACTTAACAATGGTGTCAAAGAAAAGTACTAACATGGAGTAAAATTCTCTTAACAACGTCTTGTTTAGCAACGGAAATTTTGGGCTCAATTGTGGCGGTAAGTTGGGGACTAACTCTAGATGGCAATATATGTGCCGGTCAACTCACTAAACACACGTTATATGTAACACAACTGCTTGTTACTGTGCGGGTCCCTTTTTGGAGCATGCTTTCTCTGAGGGCAGAAAATGCTTCTGCCTGTTTGTATTAGGAAGGATTCAGTCAGGAGCCCGTTGGACAAAAATGATTGCTTGGAGGAGACTGACGAGGGCTATCCCAGCTCCCTATATACCAGTGGTTCTCAACCTTTTTAATGCCGCGACCCCCAACCGGTCGTAAGTCGAGGACTAAACCAGTTGTAAGTCGAGGACTAAACTGGTTGTAAGTCGAGGACTAAACCGGTCGTAAGTCGAGGACTAAACCGGTCGTAAGTCGAGGATTAAGCCAGTCGTAAGTTGAGGACTACCCAACCGGTCGTAAGTTGAGGACTTTCCCTGCCCGGGAGCGCCGCACATTCGTGGTTCCGCCCCCTGTGCCAGCCGAGGCGTAGCTGGCAAGCGGCAGAGATGGAGCATGCCGACCACCAGCTGGCCCAGCCCAAGGGAGGTAAGGCACCCGCCGGAAAAGGGGGAGACAAAAAAATGGCGGACAGCCTTGCTTGGCGACCCCCGTGAAATGGTCAATCGACCCCAAATGGGGTCCCGACCCACAGGTTGAGAACCACTGCTATATATACTCCTTCTTCTCAGTTCTGATTACTGAAGCTTTCAGGAGTGTTAATTACTATTCAACTTTCATTGTCCAAAATAAAAGTGTTCCTTTGATTTATAATGATGGCTGCTAGATTGAAGGGCAGCATATATTAGGAGATGACAATGCCCTAATCTGATTGTAAAACTTACTTTTGAAGTATTTGCATTTGAACAAATGCATTCTAATTAAAAAAAAACAACACAAATGTAGAGTCTAGCCATTTTCTTTTTACTCAGAAAGCTTTTTTTTTTTTAACTGTTGAGCTTTTTCTTGTGCCCAATTAGCTTTCCTTTCCTCCCCCCCCCCCCGTCAACTATTTGAATTAGCTGGTTTTTATTGTTTTGCATTTTGCACTGGTGTAAAGCTGTACTTTTTATGATTGATGGAAAGTGTCCTAAGCTCCGTAGGAACTTTTGGTTTTCTACTCTAAGGGTAAAAAGGGAGATTCAACCTCAAAAATTTCCCCTTCCAATTACTGCAGAAGTTTTAATGGCGCACATCATTTAAATGCCATTTCTGATATAAAAAAAAAACCCCCATGATCTTACGTGAGCATGTCAGGAATTGAATCTCAAGAAAGCTTGGGATTCATATCCTTCTCATTCTGTTGACATGCTCCTAGTTCTGGGGGAAAAAATCACTAACTCAGGAATTGCTATATATAACTTCCATCCCCTGCAGTCACTGAGAAAAAAAATTGTAAAACGAAGGGGTAAAGCTCTTTTCACTCTCAAAAAATGGGCAAGAAAATAGCTGTGGTAGTGAATATTTAATATTGTTAAATTGTTAGATAAATATGTTCTCAAGTCAAGCTTGGCTCCTTATGTTTTTTTTCATTCTCAGTGTAACATATAGTCAGAGTATTCCCTTAGCAGTCTCCGATGCAAGTACTAATTCAATCTAAACCTATTTTAGTCTCTAAGCCCACAAACTCAGCCAAGTGCTAAATTATTAGGAAATAAAAGTTCTCACTGAGCTATGCACAATAAACTTGATATTTATTATTAATTACTGATATCTCTTAGCCATCCTGTTCTAGAAGAGGTTGGAAATACTCCCAGATATATGGCTTTATACTTAATCTGAACTAGAAACTATTCCTTGTAGGTAAAAAGTGGGTCAGGCTACGTATATCGACCATGTGGGTCATGCTTGGTTCATATTTGTTGCTCAGAATTATTTCCCATGTTGTCTAATACTAATCATCCACTTTAATGTTCCACTCTGTATTACTTTTTAAAAATTGCATTTGTGCTCTTTGAGGCTGACGATACTGACTTACGACAGAGCAAACTGCATCCTAAAATTATTATGTGGGATCTCTGATTTGATTTCTTATTGTTCAATAAAGACCTAAGAGGAATCTGTCTGCAATTTCGGTGTGAACAAATTGGGATCCTTCAGTAAAATGAACTTTGCAGAATCACAGATGGGCAGCAGTGAAGAACTTGAAAGGAGATTTTAGTGGGAAAGGTGTTTTCAAGATGAAGCATACATTTGGAAAACCAGTTTTAAAAAACAGTAGATATTAGGATAGCTGACTTTTTAACCAAAGTACATATTAGGAGCACCTCAGTTTTTTTTTTTAAAAAAAAACTATGTTTGGGGATATTGGGTAGTAAGCTGTATATATGAAGGAAAGTTGTGAATGTTAGGAATATGATTTTCCAGTCTCTTTTTAAACCATTTTTAGTTATTATAGAATAGAATAATTAGCATATTCCTAAAAAGCTGAGATAGAGCAAATTAAGACTGATTCATACATTCTTACAGAAAGATATTGCACAACCACAGGGAAAACAAGCATTATCATCTAGAAATGTCTATTTAATATCTTTGCCATAAATCTCATACTTTAAGTTGTATGCTAGCATAATATTTTAAAAACAGCAATTTTAAGTGAATCCACAGGAGCCTACCACCACTAGGCCCAGAATTATAACCAGTCATCTATTTTTTTTTTTTCAGTAGGCTGATACAAAAACAGACTTATACAGGTGGTGTGGCTGGTGGCATTCAGCTCATTATCTTGTGGCCTTTCTAAAAACAGCTTGAAGTCAAGACTTTCTGAGCCTTGGAGAACCTCCTGGTGAAGCCTCTGAAAGCAATGCCATTTCATAAAAAGACTGGTTGACAAAGTTGTTAGCAGGGGTCTTTACTATAAGGGGACCTTGTGACAACAGGGATTTTAAAAAGGCTCAATAACTAAGGTTGCAATTAGAGTAAGAGATAATATTGCTGACCTATATTCACAATCATTCTCATGATAGGGGAATTATCACTGGAATATTATGCTGATCAAGAACAAAAAAATAAGCAGCAGCCCTGAAAAGGGGTAATTCAGAAAATCACCAAAGTTCACTTATATGAAGTAAGTAATAGAAGAGCTATAGTTGTAGTAGTATAGTAGTAGTAGCAATAATTGTAATAGTAGTAGCAGCAGCACAATAACTGGACATGCATCTACAAGGAAAGAGGGAAGATTTTCCAGACTGTTTAAGCTGAATCTGACCCATATGATGTACCAACTAACTTCAGGGATGTTGCTTACACAGGAAGTCTGAACACAAGAAAGGATTCGTTTCCCTACCTTTGTCTATACTCTAAAAGTTAATTCAGGAAATGATAAGGGGAGGGCCAGGCTTCATCTGATATTGTTTTGAGGTTTCTCCTACCTCAGTGTTTCTCAACCTTGACAATTCTAAGGCATGTGGACTTCAGAAGACCAAGCATTTCTTGTTTTTGGTGAGCCCTGAAGGTGAAGGTCTCAATCTTCTCTAGCAGTGCTCAACAAAGCCAGAAGATGGGCAGGTGCTATGCTGAACAAGCAACCATGCTACGTATTGAAGTAGCTTGGGGGAGTTGCCTGAAATGTTATTGGAGGGACACACATCATCCAAGGTTTGCATATCCTTGAAGACAGCAGTGTCCATTCAGAGAGGACAAGGCTGCTTTTTCAACTTGCTTCTTCCTTCACACTGAGGATTTGAGGCCAAGTGTTTTAATACAGAGTTCTTTATCATGGATAGGCACTGATGGAGACTTGAACCTGAATCTCTCCAGTCAACATCCAACCAGGGCTTTTTTTCAGCCGGAACGCGGCGGAACCGCGTTCCGGCACCTTTTTCCGGGCCGGCCGCACCGGAAATAGCCCCTCCCACACCGGAAATAGCCCCTCCCAAATTTTACTTGCATTCCTGTTCTCTAAAGGGGCGGTCCTAGGGTTTGATGAGGGCGTGGCCAGGTTTGAGTTCCGCCACCTTTTCTCC